GGTCGAACTCGTTTTTTCGCTTCGACGAAGCTTTTGTTCGCTTATTCTTCGCTTTGGCGAATTGCTCGAATGACGTAATTGCTAAATGCGCATGCGCATCGGCGAAAAAAGTCGCTTCGCGCGAAAAAAATCGCTAGTGGAAAACCGGCTTTACTGTCTACTTAGACTATAGGCTACTTCCTATTTTAGACTATTAAAAACTTAGATATCAGTCATTTTTATTCCTAACTTTGTAGAAACTGTAAATATTTTAAAATTGTAGTTTTTATAAAATAATTTTGCAAATGGGTTCTGAAAAACCCTTTTGGGAGAAACCATAAATTTTAATAATAATAATAATAATAATAATAATAATAATAATATGACGTGTTGTAAAGAAGGGACTAAATATAGTTCTATTGCTATTACTGTTGCTATTTCTGTTGCTATTTTACTTGATTTTCGACTTGCAATTGCCTCGATTGCCCCCACTGACCAAGCTATGCCAGCCAGGGGTCAGTGTTGTCTCCGAAGACGGGATTCTAACTCTGATGACCGATTCTGATCTCGCTGCGGACTTACGACCCTTCTGTGAAAAGAGTCAGTCAACGCCTACCGACACACGTGGGTTTTCTCCAGGTACTCCGGTTTCTTTCCACAGGAAATGTTGACTGGGTGGGTTGGGATCATTGAACTATAAATAAACTGGAAGGCTAACTCAGGGGGGGGGGGATTGAAGCCAGTACATTTTCGTTTTTCTGAGTTATGAGCAGAAATACTCAACACTAAACGTTGGGCTATATATCAAATTGAAGCTATTGAAAAACGCTATTTGGTGTAGAAATTTCAAGACTTTAACTAAAAGGGAAATATTGAAAAACTACAAACATAATTACCAATAATTTGCCGTTTTGCAGTTGTTTTTGTATTTTTTAAATATTTTTCTTTTCGCTGAAGTCTTGAAATTTCCACACCAAATAGCAATTTTCAATAGCTTCAATTTGATATATAGCCCGACGTTTGGGGTCAAGTATTTCTGCTCATAACTCAGAAAAACTATTTTGGCTTCATCAAATCATAGGCCTTCATCATAGCAGTTAGCCTTCCAGTTTATTTATAGTTCAATGGTTGGGATAATTTCCTAATTGACCCTTTCACCGTAGCTGTCCATGATCAGACACGAGTCATAAGGTAGCAGCCAGAGGCGCCATTAGAAATCCTTCGACTCGATCAGTTTCAGCTGCATCTTTCACAATTCAGCTCAGCTCGATGATTACATATTTTTCTGAAACCTACCATCAACATCTAGCTTTCTCTTCGCCTTTTGAGGTGCTGGACGCAATTTTGTCGTTTTTGCACTAGACACTAAATGAAGAGAAGTATGCATTTGTCGTCATATAGGATAATACTAATCTTTGGGTAACTGCAGCTGAAAATACACCCTATTACGGAAAGTGCTCAGTCTTGGCTATAGAATCTCATTTTCGTGATTGAGATCTTGGGATTCAAGCCCTTTTCCTTGTTATAGATGACACATTTACGGAACCATACAGTTATATCAGTGAATACAAAAGACCTGTTTATAATTCTGTAATCAGTAACAAGATAAAGGGCACTAAAGCTAATAAAAGCCTCAAAGACGGAAACGAGGTTCTATAGCTAAGTACTTTCCGGAAGGGTGTATTCTATTTTAATAAAAATTACAGCATGGCAGATGTTTTTAACCAAGATGATCTAAAGAGGGAAGAGAAAATAACTATTTTCAGGGTTTTCACACTTTATGAAAATCAAGGACTTTCCCAGGACTTTCAAGGACGTTTTTCTAGCGAATTCAAGGACCTAAAACTGGTAAAAATCTTTCAAAATGGCACGGATTTTGCTTTTTGAAACACTACCATTTATTCGAAATATTATTTAGTCTACACTGTAAATATTATCAAAACAGCTCGAAAGAAATTCCAGGACTTTCCAGGATTTTCACTTACATTGACTTCCCTCCAACATGACTCTATAGTATGATACCAATGGCTGTAATTCTGGATCACGACCTGCATCTTTTATATTTAACTTTATATCCTCCATTTGCTTTTTAAGGATACCCAAACTGAAAAGATATAAGAAGTGTGTCAATCATGATTTGGGTAAACTAGAGCATTTGGTTAGAAAACGTCTTAATAATAAACGAAAGTAAAACGTAACCATGGAAAAGTATATTTCTCATAAATTTATTGTTTTTCTTTTTTTCATGAATTCACCTTACTGGGGTGCAAGGGACAGTAGATATTTCGATTAACGCGTGTTTATTTTTAAATTATTGGCTACTATTCGAAACGTTCTTGTAACAATGGCAACAAGATACAGTATGCGAGTTATCTGAAAATGTCAAAATACATGTACTCCTGGGGACGGTTGTATAAAAAATCTATTCCACTTTTTAACTACTATTTCGTAGTTAAATAATAGTTAGTACTGAAGTACGCGATTTTGTTTGGTAGCTGTAGTTAACTTTAACTACCATTTTATATAACCGACGTAACCTGAATTTCGAAATTTCGACAGCATATAGTGCGAGTCAAACGAACTCATTGATTTTGCCAAATTTCAAGCGAAGTTAAACGTTTATGATTTCCAACAAAACTGTGATTTAGGTTAAAAAACGACCAATGCCTGTGCAGTCAGAAATGCTTTAGAACGATATTTAATACTTACACAGTTTTCTTATCCTGTGATATCAGTCTTGATGAACATTCACTAATCACAGCAAGGAACCCGATATTAGGCAACGCGATCTCAGTCTCTGCATTATCCTGTTCATTCTCCTGTTCATCGTCTCGGCTGAAGCTACGTAATATTGCTTCTCTAGAAAGATTGTGAACATCAAAGTTGCAGTCATTATTAAAGCCCAGAACGAAAAAGGATATACTGTACATGTACCTGGCTGGTCCCAAATGTCTTTATTTCCCAGTCGTATTTTAATTGAAAAAGCATAGATCACTGACGCCTGTATTCTAAAAGATCCCTCACACTCACACTCAATGAGTGGAGGTTCAATCTGAGCTTATCTTGAGTGTCAATGCTGTTTAATAAATAGCTGGATGTTTGAATAGCTGGAGGGTGAGTAGTCACATAGTAAGGTATGGCAGTAGCCCTCCAGCTATTCAAAAACAGCAATGACACTCGAGAGAAGCTCACATTGAACTTCCGCTTATTGAGTGTGAGTGAGCTCTTAGAATACGGGCGTAAATCCTTTGAAAAACGTCTTCCTCAGCAATCTTAATAACAGTTTTTTTATCATCTCGCCCCTTTTAAAACCATTCCACTCATTGTCAGTCCTCCCTCCCATTGTTACAAAAATTCGACCATCTTTTTCTTTTTAGATTAGTTTACTGCGTTTCTTACGTGCTGCATGCTTGAAATAAATAATATTTCGGTAATTAATTCGAAGATAAGGTGTTACTTTACAGTACCACTGACCTATAAAATACAATTAATAATTAATACAATTAATTCTATTTTTTATAATAATATGCGGCTTCGTAGGCATTTTTACATTATTAACATATATTGTATTTCTTATACACTTTTTTTATGAAAATCAACAGTATTATATTAGTAGTCAGAAGCGTATATTCATACCTGTGTAAGTTAATCATTGCCTTGCGAATGGGTTCTTTAGTCAGTTCAATTCCATACGTTAACGCAAGTCTTCTTGCAAGTTCCTGAAAAGTAAAATACATAATTATTATTCTCACGAAACTATCGTACATTGCAAACAACTGTACGTAACAGTCTCGACATACAGTATAATAGTTTAGGATCACTAGGACTTGGAACTCTAGATCTCAACATGTGAGGGACGACGTTCTGCCATACACACATTTCGAAAACGTATCACTGGACTATTACATTGTCTAACCTCACATACATACCCCTACATAATCAGTATGGGACGATAATCTATACGTACTTTTAAGGCAGTGTATTCCTCTGACGATTTGTCGACCGGACCGTTTCCCACCTCACGAAGCTTTTCGTATTCCTAACAGAAAAAAAACTAACAATTATTTCCAGTTAAGATATTTAAAGAACTTGAAAAATCAAGGTAACCATAAAAATGTGTTATGTGTAGTTTCTTATGAAATTTCTGATGACATAAGTTATTTTTCCAATAAACGAACCTGAATATTCACCTTTTTTGACAATAATAGAGTTTTATAGGAAAATTGAAAAAACAAAACAAAAAAAAACAAAACAAAAAAACAACAAAAAAAAACACAAAAAAAACGTGTTGGCAGGAGCCCAGAAGAAATTTGAATGTGTCCAACAGACAGAAATATACTTATTAGGCCTAAAGGCACAAGATAAAGATAAAATGAAATTGCCCCTCGATATGGTAAGTAAACATGAACATGTACTTTTGTACCTGTAGCTCCCTGATTAATACTGCAGGTATAAGTTGATAGGACACTGTACTTAGGGGTTGTTCATGTAAGCTGTTTTCTCAAATTCTACCCACACAAAGCAACTATAAAGAAGACATACCGAAAATAAAGTAAGCGCTATTGTTTTGGTGTAATAGTTTATATTAATTTCTCTGCACTTTGACATGGTCTGTTTGATAAGGTCACCAAAATTCCCAAAAGCCTATAACAACAAATAGGATATTAGGATAACCTTAAAAGTTAGTTTAACTCAGGCAAGGATGGATTTACTGGGAAGGAGGTGCTGGTGGGTAACCCGTAGCCTTGGCCAAGAATGTGGCTCATTTCAAGTTCACTCATTTACAAAACACATACAGTATACTGTAGGTATGCTATTGTGAATTCTAAAAGCTTCAGCCCAATCTAACCGTGGTTTTAATGTAAAATCCAACTTTGGTGGACGATAAAATGTTCATTTAATGAACTTTTATGCTTTTGGCTGTTTTGCCGATTAATATATGGTAGATATATAAAATCTTTAACATAAAAAATTAAGAGACTTTAATACACCTATACACTCTCCTCCGCAGAGCCTTACGAATTTTTAGTAAAATTACGTAATATTACTTGGGAAACAAATTACGTAATTGTTAGTTAAACGCGCTAGGTATGATGGGAAGACGGAAGCTACGATCTCACCCCCCCCCGTCGCGCACCACTAAATGTCCTCTACTATCCCTACATTATCCCTACAAATCCTATATAATTCAGACTCTGCGGAGGAGAGTGACACCTATACGTAAGTGGAAAACAACGTGTGGCGAAAAAATCACATAAACAATCGAAACAGATTTGCCTTATATTTCATGATTTCCCATCTTACATCTAACTTTCCTTTCCCCGGGTGTAAATAGCCGAGCGGAATTAATATTACCCTCGTCACGGGCTTCGCCCTACGCGCTCTGCGCATGGCTTGGGATTACCCACTGTGCCTCTGTCACCCCATCCATCGCTGAACTCATGTATAAGAATATTATACTGGGTATACATACAGATATAATACGTGAAAACAGGACTGTGGCCAGACGCATTTCGAAGATACCATAAGAGAAGAGTTTGCATAGTCCAGCCAATACCACTCTCTTGTTGTTTAAGTCCTCCACTTCATTTTCTGTGTTTTCATCTGAAATAACATATCAATAAGTTAGGGGAAAACCATTAAGAAAGTCTACAGTACTGTTCGGTTATCAACAGGTAAAGCCAGTTTTCCACTTCATGCCTTCAAAGGATTTACGCCCGTATTCTAAGAGCTCACTCACACTCAATGAGTGGAAGTTCAATGTGAGCTTCTCTCGAATGTCATTGCTGTTTTTGAATAGCTGGAGGGCGACTGTCATACCTTACTATGTGACTACTCACCCTTCAGCTATTCAAAAACAGCATTGACACTCAAGATAAGCTCAGATTGAACCTGCACTCATTGAGTGCGAGTGTGAGGGAGCTTTTAGAATACAGGCGTTAGTGATCTATGCTTTTTCGATTAAAATACGACTGGGAAATAAAGAAATCTGGGACCAGCCAGGTACATACCGAAGCGTATCAAAAACACTTAAATTTCAAAATTTAGTGAATGTTGATTGGTTAATACTTCCATAGTACGCCAAAAAGTTGACTTGCGACGAACTTTTCATTTTGATACTACGCGAATACACCCGGAAGTACGTGGATTTATTAACCCCTTTTCAATCTGCGCATGCTCGCCAGTACGTTTCGGTTGAAGTGGACAACTGGCTTAAACCAGTGCAAAGCGTGCCCGCTGTGTCACCAACATGGCAACATCCCATTCTTGCTGATCTTGTGATCGAGATTCCTGCATTAGAGCTATGTATCATCATGGATAATAAAATAAATGGATTGGAAACTTCTGACGTCATTGACTGCATCCTTGTTGAAAAACGTGACGTCACGCGTATTGCGAATGTTACCAAAGTTCTCGGCATATTTGTTGTTTTGCTATAAAAGGGTGATCTTGAAGCGTAAACTGGTCTAATTGTTTTAAAAACATGCCTAAGCCACGACAAAGTATTCAAGGTAAATGTTAATTTTTCGTCTTTGTTTTGTATTTTTTTACAATTGTAGCTACGAAATTGGCGTCACAAATTTTACGAAATTTGCGATGTATTTTTCACTGTTTAGTGCTTGAAATATTTGCTAAAATTAACTGGGAATATACTTAGAGTTTTCATCGTAGAATGGCGTAGTTACATTTATTTGCTATTTGACTAAAATGTTTAGCTGTATTATTGCTAAACATGCCGTTTTTGAGAATTTGATTTTCAACTTGGTTGAGGCATCCAACCACGCCATCAATCCCAGTAAAAACATTAGGTCACGTCAGCTAGTTTCCTATCCATTTATTTTATTATCCATGGTATCATTGACATTATTATATTATATAACTGTATGGTTTTAGAAAGGGCTGTGAGGCAAATGTTTCAATCACGAAAAAGAGACTGAATAGCCAAGGATTAGAATAACGTTCCCGAAGCGTGTATTAGATTTTTCTGTTTTCAGAAAATTCTACGAGATTTTTGAACGCACCTTCATCCTCCTTTTCTTCCTCGCCATTGAGTTCCGAGAAAGCGTAACATGATGCAAAGTTCGCACACGTGTCTTGAAGCATGTCATTTGGTGTGTATACGAGCGCAGATAATGTTGGATCTGAATGAAAGCAAACCATAATACAACACAAACTTAGTGTTGTTAATTTTTTTCCAAACTTATTAGTTACATCCGCTTGGTGGTTATGGTTCGCACACGATATATATACACCAAATATGTATTTAGAATCATATATGAGTATATATATATGAGTATATATATATATATATATATATATATATATATATATATATATATATATATATATATATATATATATATATATATATATATATATATATATATCGCATGTCTGGATGATATATATATATCGCATGTCTGGATATATATATATATATATATACATCGCATGTCTGGATGCGTTGAGTCACCGTGTTGTACCACATGCCTTGGTGAGAGCAAGTTCATGGGGTATTAATACGAGTGTCTCACGTATCTAGACGTGTACCAAGCTGCACTGACGAGGCGTTGAACGCCGAAACATGCATGTCTGCAGATTGTTCATATATATATATATACATATATATATATATATATATATATATATATATATATATATATATATATATATA